CCGGGAGAGAGCGAATCACCCTGACGCAACCCCTTCTGCGGCTTGAAGTACCCCTTCGACTCGCCGTTGATCAAGGTGGATATGACCGGGGAACACATAGTACCTTTGATCCATTTATTCCACTGTGCCGGGAAACCGATAGATGACATAGTCTTAAACAAGCAGTCCCAGCTCACGTTGTCAAATGCCTTTTCGATATCCAGCTTAAACATAAGTCCCGGCTTGCGACTCTTCCTGCGGCTGTCCAGCAGTTCGAAAGCAATAAGACCAGCCTCAGAGATCTGCCTTCCTCTAACCGAAGCATGCTGGTTCTGAGACACAATCTTGGGAAGAACATTGCTGAGACGACGGGCCAGCACCTTGCTAATAATTTTATTCAAGCTGCTCATCAGGCTAATAGGGCGGAGATCCTTGATGTCCTCCACGGCATCACGCTTCGGCAGGAGACAAAGAAATGAGTGTGTAGCACACTCCGGCAGAACACCAGTATTGAAAAATTCAGCAATGGCGTTCAAGAACTCCTCCCGGATGAGAGACCAAGCCTTTTTGTAGAACTCCCAGGAAAACCCGTCCGGCCCGGGGGCTTTCCCCCCGTCGCAGTCCGCCAAGCTGACCCAAACCTCCTTTTCCGAAAAAGCACAGGTCAAGGCCGCAATATCAGCGGCATCAATTCTCCTATCGGTGTGCGACCTCGGAAAAGGACGCCTCGAAACAGTATCCTTGAACAAATTCTGGTAATACCCCACTATGCCTCTGCCGAGAAGCTCCCTCCCTTCATGCCTAACTCCATTGATGTTGATGCAATCGATCAAATTGAGCTTTCTTTTATAATTAGCAACCCTGTGGAAGAAGCTAGTATTGTTATCTCCTCCCTTCAGCCACAATTCTTTAGACAACTGTCTCCAATGAATCTCTTGGAGGAAAAAGAGCCTGCTCAAAACAGCTCTCAAATCCTGCCTGTCTGCTTGTTCCGCATCTGTAAGTGAACGAGATTCCTCCACCATGTCCAGCCCCTTGATAAGACCAAGAGACTCCTCAATCTTCGAATTGATATTGCCAAAAACCTCTTTATTCCATATTCTGATGGTCTGTTTCAGATTCTGAAGCCTCTTAACCCACAGGAAAGCTTTACCGTGCCCACTCACCGTGCTCCTCATCCACATTTCGAGACCCTCAAAGAATCTCGGGTCCTCCAGCCACATGTTCAGAAACCTCCATGGCCTTCGGACCCTAAGCGTAGCACCCCATTTGATCAACAAGGGATTATGATCCGATTCAACCCTTTCCATAGCCGTCAAAGTGCAATCAGGATACAAAGCATCAAAAGTCGCATTAATAAAAACTCTGTCAATACGCGAGAGGGACCCCGAACCGTCCCCTCTTCCCCACGTAAAGTTACAGCCTCCGAGAGGTAGTTCTAAAAGCTGGTTATTATCGATCACATCGTTGAATTTTTCCATCAACATCGTGCACCGCCTCCCACCCCTGTAATCCTCGTGGCCTCTAACAAGGTTGAAGTCACCTGCAATACAAAGGGGGTTGGCCGCGCTCAGACACAAGGAGTGAATTTCGTTGATGAACTCCAGTTTAGCTTCCCTCTCTTGAGGCCCATACACGACAGAGAGAGTCCAAACTTTTAGTGTGTTCACCTCCTGAAGATCGACAGACAAATGAAATCTCCCCTCCCTATACGCGAGAGCTCTCACAACTTCCTTGTCCCAGTAAACAGCTATCCCACCTGCGCTATTCTCCGCATTTTTTGCTGCCCAACCACTGTCCCTGTTTCCGCTGATGCTCCTGATCAGCTCATCATTGCAAACATTCCACTTGGTCTCAACGAGTCCAACGATCTTCGGTTTCCTCAAACACAGTACGCGCTTAATCCTGGACCTTTTCGCACTATCACCCAACCCCCTTACATTCCACACAATCACAGAGCACTCCATTATACTGGTTCAGCATGTTCATCCCCACCCCTTCTGCGGCTCCTGCGATCACCTGAAACTGGCGCCTCAATCAATCCTAGTCTGTGTCTTTCCATTTCAAGTTTGGACCTGGGTTGGCGCACTTTTCTCTGATGCATTTCCCTGGCGGTATTCTCTATCAATTTCACCACATTATCCGCTCCACCCTCCATTTCAATCTTGAATAAACTGCTCAATTCAATGCTGGTGGCCACGAGAGTTGCTGCGTCAAAGGGGAAATCGTCTTGACTTCCCACCCTAGCTTGACTGTCCGGAACGCACGAGGGGGAAGGAAAATCAAAATCCCCGAAGCTGGAACTCAACGCGAATTGCGAACCGGGGGATGAAGGCGGGCTGGTTAGATCTGAGCACTGGCTGTGAAAGGAGGAGGGAGGAGAGGTAATGGCCAGGGGGACTGGAACAGATGGGTCATCGGAGTATATGGATCGGGAAGAAGGTGAGGTTAGACCAAAAGAGATAATACAAAACGGTGGGCAAAGGTTGCGAATTGGAGCAACAGAATTAGCGGGTCTAACCCCTGGAATGAAAACCGAACAAAGCCAACCCAATTCGTCCACAGCAGGGTTAAATCTGGGCCCGGGCCTGGACAACAACTGGTACACGGACCTAAGCATATTCACACTGACCTCCTGCACACAAGGCGTGGGCCCAGGCCTGTACAAGGCCCAGTCCTCCTCCACACAAGCAGACCCCCGTGAAAGGCCCAGAGGGGGGCGGTTGATAGGGCCGAACTTCCTGACCCATATTTTCCTCCCAAGCCGCCTGGGGCCTGCGAAGCAGTTGACGTTATCGGTGAGCTGCTGTTGGCCGGGTCCCACCGGCGAAAGAGACTCAGCACGCCTCGGGGTATCCACCAATTGATTCACCCTCGGTCGCTTCAACATGTGACCTTGCATTGGATGCATGGGGGCATTGCACGATGCAAGGCGTTTCAACTCCCCGCTTGAATCGGCTTCCGAGGCGGGTCTCCCTTTCTGAGCGGACATCGGCGCCGTGATGATTCGGATCGAGAACCGCTCCCCGGCGAACCGAACAGGGATGGTCGACGGCGGCTCATCGATCATTCTCACCCGAATGCGAATGAAGTCCGCGGACCAGTGATTCCAATCGACCTCTAACAATTTGCCACAAAATCTTCCGATCAAATTAATAAGATCGATGCTTTTCAGATGAAGCGGGATCCCAAATACCAAAATCCATTGAGAATCATCGTACCAATCCTTCTGACCCTCCTCCGGCCAAAACGAGATGAGGATATTGAAATTTTTAAAGGAGCACTGATTGAAGCCTCTGATGCGGACAGCGTGTTGAACACTTGGGCATGATAGAAGCCACTTCCCGTTGTCAAAATAGTGCCAGTCGAAATTGTCATCGGTGGCCCAATGCCGATTCGCCCATCGCTTGAAGTCCTGAGCGTCGTCCCGGACAAAACACTCCCCAGCTGTCGGCTTAAAAGTAATGATCAAGCTTCTACCCAGCAGTTCACATCTCTCTGACACCCCGACGTCTTCAATATCAATGAAGCGGTCTGCGCCTTTACCTCTTATGCTGCAACGACCCGCTCCATAAAATCCCCTGTTCTTAACGGCCTCGGCATAGGTTTTCTTCGTCGTGTCTGCAAGAACCTGCTGTCGTGGAGGGCTGCAATCGGGAGCATCAGATTGTCGGCAACCCCTTTTCTCAAAGTGGTAAAAGTCCTGTAGCAATGAAATTAGTTGTGCCCAACCTCTCCCCTGCTCCGACTGGGGGACGAGGACCTTAAAGGAACGGCCGTTCTTCACCTGCTCCGAGATCTGAAGATAAAGCCTGGAACCCACATATTTCTTTCCAACGTGGATCAACCTGTCGCCACACTTCTTGACACAACCACTTGGGAACTGCCACCCCCTCATCACCGCCGTTTGAAGGACTCCTTGAAGCCAGGACAGATGCCCTTCATTGAGAAGAATGAACCATCCCTTAGAACCTTCTTCGACCTGCATTCTATACCACGCAGCCTTGCCCGCTTCTTCCTTTTGGATTACAACCCGCCTGCAGCCAAACCACGACTCTCTCGAACATCCTTCCTTGCTGCCACCACTGCCGCCACCGGACCCGAAACCCTGTAACCTGCGATCACAACCAAACGAACCAGGTGAACTCAAAACCCTACCCCTATCCCTCACCCCCACGGCGCCTCTCACAAACGCACCACCGGCGGCTCCTCTCTCTTTCGCTTTCTCACCGCCGGCGGCTCCTCTCTCTCTAGCTTTCTCACTCATCTGATGGTACAACTTTAAGTTGTACATTAAAGCACCAATACTATATAGCATAGTAGAAGTGCTCATTTGATAAGGTGGTTGTAGGGACCACATTTGGCAATTGCTAGGGATGGAGATGGTATATACTGATGTGGCACTGATATGGCACTGATGTGGCGCTGATGTGGCAGGTAATGGAAGGTTATTGACCATAAGGTTAAACACATGGTCCGCTTGTATTATCTTACAATAAAAAACTAATTTGGAGTAATACATATAGTTTATGTGAAATTGATTTTATTAGAGAAGGAAAATAAATTGAATTCCACTTTTTGCTCGAAAGATTTGAGTTTCGCGGGATCATGCCGGTTTTATCGCATGAGAGGCGAGCAATTAGGTTTATATTCTATTCTTTTTTATATTTTTGAATTTCTTTATTAGGATGCCCCGTTGAACCAAAATAGGCCGGTATTTCCCAGTTCGACCCAAAATATCGGCCGACATGGGAATTTGAAGATTCAATACATATCGTTCCGGGCTGCCTCTGGTTCAACGGTTGACAGTCCGGTATCACGAACCATGGTATGGACTATGTATCGACGAACTTATATGAAGAATTCAGAGATGTTTAAAAATGTGCTCGTAATAAATGTTAAGACAAGGAATGCAATCAATTTTGATAGATTGAAAAGAAAAGGTAACAATTTAAGAACACTATTTAAAATGGCTACAGTTTTTTCTTACATAATGGCTATATAAATTAAATTGAGATAAATCATCTATCATTCCTCAAATTGAAAATGCGTTGTCGACAAACAGGACACGTAATTTTCACGTTAAGCCAATTGTCAATACAAGCTACATGAAACATGTGTTTGCACACGGGCATTATTCTGCATGGCTCTCCCCCATTGTAATCCTCCAAGCAAATCGCACATTCTCTAGATGTGGTCTCTAACCCAACGCTTCCATACTCAACACAGGGCAATTCCATCATCACCCTACAATACTTCCTCTGACGACGTCTTCTTCTTCTCTCGACTCCTTCCTCGAGATCGGACTCAAATTCTAGGCCACGACTGTTTTCTACCACCCGCCAATAAATGAAGTCGTAAAGGATGTAAACTATTACCACAATTAATGAAGCCGCCACAACACAAATGATCGTCATGCAAACTAACAAAAGGATTGCAAAGACCATGATAGCCACAAAATGAGGATGGAGATAGTTCCCCGGGGCAATACTAGTGATATTCTGCGACGTCATTCTGATTGTTCTCGCCATTTCTGGTTCTTTGTGTTGTTGTATTATTATTAGTATTGGCTAATGATGATGATTTCACAAAGTGAGAGCTATGAATAATCAAATGTAGTAGACATTGTCTTTATATATTTAAGAAAAAAGTAGTTATTCAATATGTGTATCGATATGCGCTATGAATTTCACCAATTGGTTAATCATACGATGAAACGAATATTAGTTTGATTGCAGATTAGCTAATATGTTTCATTGGCACAAGTTACGAACTAAAGGTTGATATATATATATATATATATATATATATTTTAGAACCATGCACATAATTTACAACTTAAATTCCATCCATGTTCTTCCTTTGTCGCCATTATGGTTTAATTACTATTGGTTTTTGAACAATAAATTTTGTTGACCAACTATTTCGTTTGAGATGAATTTTTTTGTTGTAGAACAAAGTTCATTCTCGGTGTTTTCCCCGATTAGATTTCCTTATCAATTGATTTGTTAAAACTCGTAAACATAGGTTAGTTTAGTAGGCTAATACTTATTTGTTTAGAAAAACTTCTCATGCTAAGTAAGAAATATTTGTAAGTATCAAATTCTTATCTCAAAATTTTAAATTACGTATTAAATTTAGGAATTATGCGCAAAATATAACACTTACTATCAAAATTCCATTAATACCCAACCCTTAACATGTTTTCCAATCTACTATACTTTTATCCAAATCTATGACATCTTCAACTATTTTGTAAGCAGATCACTGAAGACTAGAGCTATTTAGCAAAAAACCAATCATATGTCGCAATCAATTAATAAAAATTTAAAATTCTATGAGCTGTAACATTCTAGTAAAATGCGAAGGTTGGAGCGATTTAAAAGTAAATCGCTATCGTGGAGTGCGACAAACCATTATCTCACTGGAGGCTAGCGATTCCTCCACTTGAGAATGCATATATCGCGTCCTTTGCCGCACCATTTCGGATGCATGATATCTTATCGCACGACTAAAAGTATACACATATCGTTGGACATGATAGCAATCTCGCTGTGATTGGTCCATTTAGGTTGACGCAATTGTTGGCTAGCCACATGATTTGTGCCATGGGCCCTTCATCACGTGTCTCTAACACATTTACACACGTTGATGCTGCCTTCAGCTAAAAATACATGCCCACTCCTTCGTCTGCAAGCCAAGGATTTATTTTAGCAAGCTTTGTGGTTGCAGTTAATTATGATCTTCCACACTATAATTTTTCTTTTCTTTTACTTGTGATAATGACCCTCCACGTAAAAAAATAAATCTTGGCAAACATTAATTCGCATAAGGCCAACAAGTTATCATGAAATTTCCCCCTTGCAAATGGTTTTTGGTCAGGAACCTAATATTTCCCATCTAAAAATATTTGGGTGTGTCGTCTACGTCCCTATTGCTCCACCACAGCGTGTTAAGATGGGTCCTCAAAGGAGGTTGGGAATTTATGTTGGATATGAGTCCTCGTCAATCATAAAATACTTAGAACCCTTGACGGGAGATTTATTCACTGCTCGTTTTGCTAATTGTCATTTTGACGAATCAGTTTTTCCATCATTAGGGGGTGAGAACAAACAGTTGGGAAAAAATATTTGTTGGAATGAATTATCATTATCTCACCTTGATCCTCGTACTAGACAATGTGAACTTGAAGTTCAAAAGATAATTCATTTACAAGGTTTAGCAAACCAACTGCCGGATTCTTTTACTGACCAGAAGAGAGTGACAAAGTCACACATACCAGCTGTAAATGCTCCCGTGAAAGTTGATATCCCTGTTGGACAATCTGAAATTGCAAATGAATCTAAACCACGAATAAAGCGTGGTAGACCAGTAGGTTCCAAGGATAAAAATCCACGAAAAAGAAAATGAGCTATGAATCAAGATGGTCAAATCGAGGATATGAAAGCTCAAGAAGAGACCCCAAGCATAACTAAGATAGTAGTTCCCGAAGAACATGAGGTACCTAAATTTTTTTATAATGAAGAGATCTCAATCAATTATGTCTTGGATGGAAAATGTTGGAACCGAAGTGAAATAATCGTCGACGATGTTTTTGCTTACGTTGCAGCATTGAGTGTGATGAATGAAAATGAGGATCATGAACCAAGATATATTGATGAATGCAAGTCAAGAGATGATTGTCCAAAGTGGAAAGAGGCCATTAAGGCGGAATTAAAATCACTTTCAAAGCGAAAGGTTTTTGGATAGGTAGTCCTTACACCAGAAAACGTAAAGCCAGTGGGATACAACTGGGTTTTTATGCGGAAAAGAAATAAAAGGGTGAAGTTGTGAGATATAAGGAACTTCTTGTCGCACAAGGATTCTCACAGAGACCTGACATTGATTATGAGGAGACATACTCCCTGTGGTGGATGCAACTACGTTTCGATACTTGATTAGTCTGGCAGTTCGAGAAGGACTAGATCTGCGTCTAATGGATGTTGTGACAACCTATTTGTATGGATCACTTGAGAATGATATATATATATATATGAAACTCCCTGAAGGATTCACTTTGCCAGAAGCAAACAAAACACATTCTCGAGAAAAAATTTCTATCAAATTGAACAAATCCTGGTATGGATTGAAACAATCTGGACGAATGTGGTACAATCGTCTCAGTGCATATTTGATGAAAGAAGGATACAAGAATGACCCTATTTGTCCATGTGTTTTTCTAAAGAGATCGGGTAGTGAGTTTGTTATGATATCAGTTTATGTTGATGACATAAACATCATTGGAACTCCCGAAGAGTTTCCAAAAGCAGTTGATTGCTTGAAGATAGAGTTTGAAATGAAAGATTTAGGAAGAACAAAGTTTTGTCTTGGATTACAGATTGAACATTTGAAGGATGGTATTTTTGTGCATCTAGAAGGATATGTTGAAAATGTGCTTAAGCGATTTTATATGGACAATTCACACCCGTTGAGTAATCCAATGGCTGTAAGATCACTTGATGTGAAAAGAGATCCATTTAGACCTCGAGAAAGTGATGAAGATCTGCTTAGCCCCGAAGTGCCATATCTTAGTGCGATAGGAACATTAATCTATCTAACCAGTCACACACGACCCGATATATATTGTTTGTTGTGAATATATTGGCAAGATATAACTCTTCTTCCACTAAAAGTCATTGGAATGGAGTTAAACATTTACTCCTTTACCTTCGAGGAATGATGGATATGGGCTTGTTCTATTCGAGTGCATCGGAGTTGGATTTAGTGGGATATGCAGATGCATGATATCTCTCAGATCCCCACAATGGTGGATCTCAGACAGGATATTTGTTCACTTGTGGTGGTACAACCATTTCATGGCGATCCACAAACAAACTATAACAGCCACATCATCCAATCATGCGGAAATCTTAGCAATTCACGAGGCAAGTCGTGAATGTGTTTGGTTAAGATCTATAATTCGACACATTAAAGAATCGTGTGGACTATCTCGAGGAAAAATGATCCTGACGGTCATGTATGAAGATAATGCAGCATGCATTGCTCAATTAAAGGAAGGATACATTAAAGGAGATAGAACAAAACATATTCCACCCAAGTTCTTTTTCACTCATGATCTTCAAAAGAGTGGTGAAATAATTGTTCAAAAGGTTCGTTCAAGTGAGAATCTAGCAGATTTATTCACCAAGTCACTCCAGGCTGCCTCTGGTTCAACGGTTCAACCGGATAGTCCGGTATCACGAACCATGGTATGGACTATGTAGTATGTACCATTGACGAACTTATATGAAGAATTCAAAGATGTTTAAAAATGTGCTCGTAATAAATGTTAAGACAAAGAATGCAATCAAAATTGATAGATTCAAAAGAAAAGGTAACAATTTAAGAACACTATTTAAAATGGCTACAATTTTTTCTTACATACTGGCTATATAAATTAAATGCAGATAAATCATCTATCATTCCTCAAATTGAATATGCGTTGTCGACAAACAGGACATGTAATTTTCACGCTAAGCCAGTTGTCAATACAAGCTACATGAAACATGTGTTTGCACACGGGCATTATTCTGCATGGCTCTCCCCCATTGTAATCCTCCAAGCAAATCGCACATTCTCTAGATGTGGTCTCTAACCCAACGCTTCCATACTCAACACAGGGCAATTCCATCATCACCCTACAATACTTCCTCTGACGACGTCTTCTTCTTCTCTCAATTCCTTCCTCGAGATCAGACTCAATTTCTAGGCCACGACTGTTTTCCACCACCCGCCAATAAATGAAGTCATAAAGGATGTAAACAATTACCACAATCAACGAAGCCGCCACAACACAAATGATTGTCATGCAAACTAACAAGAGGATTGCAAAGACCATGATAGCCACAAAATGAGGACGAAGATAGTTCCCCGGGGCAATATTCATTCTGATTGTTCTCGCCATTTCTGGTTCTTTGTGTTGTTGTATTATTATTATTGGCTAATGATGATGATTTCACAAGGTGAGAGCTATGAATAATCAATGTAGTAGACATTGTCTTTATATATTTATGAAAAAGTAGTTCTCCCTATTCAATATGTGTATTGATATGCGCTATGAATTTCACCAATTTGTTAATCATACGATGAAACAAATATTAGTTTGATTGCAGATTAGCTAATATGTTTCATTGACGCAAGTTGCGAACTAAAAGTTGATATATATATATATATATATTTTTGGAGCCATGCATATAATTTACAGCTTAAATTCCATCCATGTTCTTCCTTGGTTGCCATTATGATTTAATTACTATTGGTTTTTGAACAATAAATTTTGTTGACCAGCTATTTTGTTCGAGATGATTTTTTTTTTGTTGTAGAACAAAGTTCATTCTCGGTGTTTTCCCCAACTAGATTTCCTTATCAATGGATTTGTTAAAACTCGTAATCATAGGTTAGTTTAGTAGGCTAATGCTTATTTGTTTAGAAAAACTTCTCATGCTAAGTGAGAAATATTTGTAAGTATCAAATTATTATCTCAAAAATTTAAATTACGTATTGAATTTAGGAATTATGCGCAAAATAGAACACTTACTAGCAAAATTCCATCAATACGTCAATACCCAACCCTTAACGTGTTTTACAATCTACTATACTTTTGCCTAGGGCTGCAAACGAGCCGAGCTTTTGCCCAGCTCAGGCTCAAGCTCGAAAGAGAATTTCTAAGCTTGTGCTCGACTTGAACTCGCGACAAGCTAAAAAAATGAAGCTCGAGCTCGGCTCAATAAAAAAAGTTCAGCTCGAGTTTAACTCGACAACAATTCATCAAGGAGCTCAACAAGCCCACCTCATCGAGGCCACCTTTAAGTTGCTCGACTTCATATGTGCTTTCACAACCCAATATTCCTTTGGACGGCTACTATGTAGCCATCTTGGACCCAGAAGAGATAGCAAACTCGTAGCGCATTTCAAAAAGGTCACATGTTATACATATCTCTTTATGATTTATTTTGGGTGGATAGTCCCATCACTATTATATAATTGGTGGAAACATGCGATATAGTTTGCCCACCGATGTGGTACAAAAGAGATAGAAAAGGCAGCATCCCACCATTAGTGCCACCTTCATCTGAAGCAGCTTCAAAGTTCCCACTAGCTATCATCCAATTCGCTAGCATGAGTTCCCCTTTACTGCACCTCCACAAAGTTGCCACACTATGCCTCTGCTTATTACTATTGCGAAAATAATTTAAAGAGTCGTTGTTGGAAGCTTCGTCTAACTCCACGAACCCTCCATCTTCAGCTTCATCGTATATTGTAGAAGGTAGCATATCTTGTCTGGAGGTGGGGTGGATGATAAGGAATACATGTTCTAGTAACCAGAAGGCAGCTGAGTGTCCGACCAAGGAAGTTACAGATGATCTTTCGATAGAAAAATAGTTATAGAAATGATTCTGATTCTGATTCTTTTGAATTGAAATGTTCAAAGTTTTGAAATATGACTCAATTGCGGTTTCTACTATGATTTTTACAAAGGATAAAGTCAGGTTCATAATTCAAGTTCATCTACTTTACCTTTACATAGGCAATTGGGGGAATTGGAGTAGACAGAGGCCTAACAGAGGAATTGGAATTGGAATTGGGAATGAGAATCTATTTAGCAGTTACCAGAGGGCATAGAGATGGATTGGGTTCACTTCAAGAAATGCTTAGAAACTTCTGGTATGGCGTTGCATATATGTGTTGATAAGCAACTCTACATTGGAAACTTTTAATCATAGTTTTTTTGTTATATTTAAACTAGCTACGAAAAAGAAATCTCATCTTCTTAAGACATTATCATTGTTTGTCCATACGTCTCATGCTCTCTTATAGTAATCAAAAGTCAAACCACACTGATTAGTAAGATAAGTAGCATAACCAACACACGAGGCTTGTTGTAGTAGTATTATCACTAGTATTGAACCTGAAGGTCTCATGTTCGAATCCTTTCAATATAACCTAATTATAAAATTCAACCTATGTCATCATTATCTTAAAAGAAACATACGAGTACGACTTATATCACTAACAATATGTAATCTAAACAGCCTACGGGTTATGTGACTAACAGTAGGTCTGTCCGAGAGCTACGTAATGAGAAGCTAATCGAATTGGTTTGCGAGCCATACTATCAAGTTGACTTATTAGTTTAAATTGACTTAAGTTTCAAGCAACAATATCAAGTTGTCTAATGAGTTTTAATCGAGTTAACTCTTGATCCACACTATCGAGCCAGCTCATGAACCTGGCTCAACGAGCCAACGAGTCGAGCTAGCTCGCGAGCCTGACGAGTTGAATAGAGTCTGGATCATGCTCGGCTCATTAACAAACGAGTTGGCTCACGATCCAGCTTGTTAAAAATCGAGCTGAGTATCAAACGAGTTTTCACGATCTGAGCCTCGAGTTGCTCGCGAGTAGCTTGGCTCATTTGCAACCCTACTTTTGCCCAAATCTATGACCTCTTCAACTATTTTGTAAGCAGATCGCTGAGTACCAGAGCTATTTAGCAAAAAACCAATCATATGTCGCAATCAATTAATAAAAATTTAAAATTCTATGAGCTATAACGTTCTAGTAAATTGCGAAGGTTGGAGTGATTTAAAAGTAGATCGCTATCGTGGAGTGCAACAAACCATTATCTCGCTGGAGGTTAGCAATTCCTCCACTTGAGAATACATATATTGCGTCATTGTCGCACCATTTAGGATGCATGATATCTTATCGCACGACTAAGAGTATACACATATACTGTTCGACATGATAGCAATCTCGCTGTGATTGGTCCATTTAGGTTGACGCAAATTGTTGGCTAGCCACATGATTTGTGCCATGTGCCCTTCATCGCGTGTCTCTCTCTCCCAAAAATTCCACATTTGCCTCAAGGCCACTACAATCTTGCCCTTCATCCATCACAACCTCCTTGCCCTTCTCATTTCCTGCAGTAGATACCATTTTAATTGTTCTCTTCCCTCATGACCACCGAAAGTTTCCTCATACTACCACTCACAAGTCGAGAACAATCGTGTCCAAACAACTTACAAGAAGAACAAATCATACGGAGCCAACAATACTCCACTGCATAAACATCTCCTCTGTACCATTAGGTGTTAAACTAATATGATCAATCAACAGAGAGGTTGCAGGCAATCCAACACATATCATAGCACTACCCACTCTATACCCCTTTTATTGTAGGTAAATCCATACATAAGAGCTTACCAAGAATAATAGCAAGATGGCCTAGTCCTTCTCCCAAATTCAATTCTGTTGAGATGCATAGAAGCCTTACCCAGACCAGAATTGTTGAGTTGTCGATCTTCAGAGGTTGAATTCCGTCTTCATAGACAGACAATAATCTCATGGCAGTTCCATGGCTTGCCCTAAAACACCCAATTGCAGGTGTCTGCCGATGGAAATTAGAAAAGAACCAGATGTATCCAAACCCAACAACTCAGATGTCACCCTTGCAACCCCAAATCTAGTTCACCCACGAACGAAGCATACCCAACGCTAGTGTTTTACCTAGTAACTGTCCCACTATACTATTTGCCCTTCGTTGAGCTCCTTTGTCGACCACCTTCTTTAGAATTCACACCGAACCATTCACAATCTCCGGCTCGGAGTATTGCAGTCGCCCTTTTTCTGGCACTCCGAAGAGAGATACCCACGAGCGGCCGCCACCAACGACGACATCTGCTAGGGGTGTTCAAATGGTTACCATGGTAATTACCAAACCAAACAAGCCAAAATTTTATTAACCATGGAATACAGTATCATAACCAAACTGTCCAAACTAATACAACAACCAAACTAACCAAACTAAAGTTTATTAGATTTGGTTATTTGGTTAACCAGATTAACCAATATAACATCACATAATTAAATGAGCAAATTTTCAGTTAATATATCAATTCACAATTTATATGATGAACAAAACATTACAATGAACACCTAGTTATAGTTAACCCTTATAAAAAAACAATGATATACAATCAACAGAAGTATTCACCTAACAAAAATATATGTCAATATTATTGAGTTAATTAACTTTTGTGATTGTGTGAATTGAATTAGTCTCTTAGCAATTATTATAGATTGAAAAGACCTTTCTTTCAAATTTCATATAATTTACTGTATGAGTTTTATCTAAATTGGGCGTTTATATTTCATGGTCTAGATTCTACAAATACAAATATATAGTATAGGAACAATATTGAGCTTTATTGTTGATGAGTCCAAAAGGAAGGAAAGTTTGGTTCTTGAATGGTTATGTTAAGTATTAAGCATGTGTATATAATAATATATGTTAGATATATTGATAATTACTTAACTGGTTAATTTTGTTTGATTGGTTAGGAGTGTCTGAAACCAAACCAACTAAACCAAACAACTAATTTTTTTAACCAAACCAAACCAATTATCCAAATTAACCAAACCAAATTAACCAAATACACCCGGTTAAAACGGTTACCACGGTAACCACACTGTTTGACACCCTAATAGTTGCCATCATATATCTTGTTTGAAAATGTACTAACCCTT